CTGCTGATACCATTCCAGCCTGGCTTCACTATCAGAGGAAACAACGACTGCACATAGCCGGGAGCACAGAATGCCCCCTCCGAAGTTTACAGCTGGATGCAGCTGAAACCAGCTTCAATGGACCATGGAGACTGGGGGAAAATCGTTTAGGGAAAAAAAAAACCAAAAAACAACCAACAGCCAGTTGACCATGTTTCTAAATATAGAGCTGTGTCAGTTTTAATAGGATGGGCATAATTGCTCCCGCTGCTTTGCCGGGCCGAGCGTGGCCTAATTGCTCGCCCGTAACAATCCCGAGCGTTAATACGGGGCAGTTGCGGGTTAGCGGTGCCTCGCAGCCAGGACTGCAGCAGCCACCAGGAAATTGCCCGGGCGCAGGAGATTAGAGGTGTTAATAGCCTAGCTTAGGGGGCCCAGGAGCCTCACCGCAGCAGCCCAGGCATTCTTCCCTCCCACTGAATAGGAACAGGGCTGGATCCACAAAAACATCCTATTTTAGGCCAGCCTGACCATTTTCCAGCTGCGGGCTGTAGGCAGAAACCATCATGGGGTTTTAGGTCACCTGGTGTTTTTTCAAGCTCACATCCACTCGAGTTTTCTCCGGATCAGAGCCTTTGCGGTGTAGAATAGACAAGGAGGCTCCGTTATTTTGAAGTGGAGAGTTTCCCTGCGGTAGAAAGGAAGGCGAGAAGCTTGCCAGCATCTCTGCACGGCCAGGAGGGTGTGGAGAGGCCAGGCTGGAGCTGCAGAGCTGACCTGTGCAAATATCCCCATGCTGAGAGCCTCCGGGCAGCTCTGCCCTCCCTCCCGAGCCTCCCCTGCGCACGCTGCCACTGCTTCCCAGCCCCTGGGTTTCCTGCACTGAGGAGCCGCTGCCTGCAGCACCCAGCTGTGCTCAGGAAATGCTGGATGAAAGCAAGATACATCAACCGCTGGGGCCCCTTCCCTCCACTCCCAGCACCCCAAGAGCCATCGCCACTGCTCCCCTTGCCCCTGTGTTGGGGGTGATGGACAAGTGTTGCAGAATGCAATGGAAAGAATCAAGTAACATCGTCGGGTGACTTAAATTTCCCATCCTGGGAGAGCCAGGGTTGTGCATCCCAGCGTTAAGAGGTTTAAATGCTACACGGCTGCAGAGACCCTCCCAGGAGGGACAAACATCCGCTCAGCCACATCCTCTCCGCTGTAAGGCTGGGTTGCGGGTCCCTGGGGACAAGGGGATGAGGTCCCGTGGTGCTGGGAGGGAGGGCTGGCGAGCAGAGCTGGCTGCTGGCTACCTGGCTGGAAAGGTCCCACAGCAGCCACTGTTTCGGTGCTGGCAGGAGCATCGCTCTCCCAAACATCCCTGCAGCCTGCAAGGCAGCCCATGTCAGCCTGCATGTCGGGCAGTGCTGGGAATTCACCAGCAGTCATCCCTGGCTGCAGAAAGGAGGATGAGAAGCTTCTGCGAGCGATTGCACTCAGCTGGTGGCTTGCTCCCGGCTCTGCTCCAGGAGCCCGAGCGCTGTGCTCTGCTTTACGGGCACGGTTCCAAGGGCTCGGCTGTGGACCAGAGCGGTCACAGACCTGAGCTGGTTGAACTGGAGATGCGTGTTGCAAACCACTTGGCACTGGGGAGCGCTTGGATTCGCAGCTGCTGGGTTGTAACTCGAAACACCATAGCTTTCCCGCAGAACTGGAAATGTCAGCCTCCAGCTGGGAGCACTGGGTGGCCCCTCCTGCCCGGCCAGCCAGCACGGGGCACTCAGCTCCAGCGTGCTCCCGCTGAGCATCTCCGCACACAGCCAGCACACAGACAAGCCTCTGGTTGTGAGCTGGAGCCAGCGTGGCAACAAAAGCAGATCCAGGCACTGGGGCAGCAAAGCTGCTTGCCTGGTGGGACAGTCAGCCACCCTTAACCAGACCTGCAGGGACTTGCACTCCCCCCAAGAGCAGCAAAGCACACCTACAGCCCTGTCCTTGTCCCCAGGGGTGCCACCAGTGGTCCTGAGCCCCCCCTGGGAAGGCAGGTTGAGGCATGGGTCACCCACACAGCAACTCACCTCCTGCAGAAAGAGCTTGTTTGCTGTTTGAAAAGCCCCTGATTTTTCTACAGGTAGATGCTGTGGCACTAGCTGGGAGGGTTTCAGTCTTACAAAGCAGGGCAGGACATAACCGCAGTGGTGGATCCTGGCAGAGGGACATTTATTGTCCAGTTCTTTTAATCAAAGTGTCTGATCTCTCCCCTCTGCAAGAACAAACATCCACTCAGTGTCCGGTTGCTCTCAGATTGTTTAATATTAAAGCCATGGAGAGGGGCAGGGTTAACACCAGCTACAACGACCATCAAACACAGCCAGATTATTTTTCTCCCCTTCAAAGAATAACACAAACCATAACAGATCATCCGTCCTCAGTCTATCTGCAACCTGTGAGCACCTCTACACCCGCAGCAATCCACCACGTGCCAGTTGTACTATTGCACATCACCCTGAAAGTCCCTGGAGGTGCAGCTCTGGATGGATCCCGCTTTGATTTCCAGACTGAACACGCTCCCTGGAAGCTGCGTTTAGAGCTCAGTTCTCCCCAGCAGCAGAGACTCTCGGGAAGCAGAGTGGGGGTTTTGGAGTGGGAGAAGGCGAGGTTTTTGCAGTTGCTTCAGTAAAGAGAGGAGGTGGCTGAGCTGTAAGGAATCGCTGTTCTCGTTTGCACTTCAAATGGTTTCTTCTCGGTGGTACTCTTGCCTCCAGGCTGGTTCCCAGTCCCTCTCCCCAGCCCCTCCACCGTCAGCGGGCTGTGGCAAAGCCGATGCGGTTGTTGCGCCGGTCGAATTTGGTGTAGTAGTGCCCGATGAAGCTGGCGCCCAGGATCCAGAGGGGACCAGCTGGGGGTGGGATGTCCAGCCCTGAGAAAGCCACCACGCAGACATCCTCCCCGTACTGGGATTGCTGCAAAGAGGAGGAGAACCAGGCGGTGATGGGGGTGCCAGGAGGGACATCTCTCCTGCAGCGTGCCCGAGGAAGGGCTGCCATCCCTGGCTCAACACCCTCTGCTTGGCTTGATGTTCCTTCCTCCAGGAAGGAGGATCCCTGCCTGTCTCTGCTCTTTGCTGCTCACCCCAAATCTCCCCAAAACCAGCCCAGGAAGCAGCGATGGGTTGGTCTGGCTCATGTGGACACCTCCACCGAATGGGAAGGTTTGGGAAAAACCAAGCAGCATCATTCTGGCATTCATCTCAGCTGCTTTAGCGGAGCCAGGAGGGTGCAAGGTGCTGCAGGAGAGCTGCACCCCGAGATGCACACCCTGGGGAGAGCCGCCCTCCCACCCCACACGGAGGGATGCAGCTTACCCGAAGGATGTAGGCTGAGCCGCTGAGAGCGTATGCCTTCCCGCCCAGGTGGAAGGAGATGTTGGGCAGCTGAGGGACTCGGTCACAGTCCACCACGTACTGTGAGAGGAGGAGACGGTGCTGGGCTTGTTTGGGCTGGGGAACAGGCAGCCGAGGGGGCAGGCAGTGGGGACAGGGCAGAGGGGGGTTGAGCTCACCTCTCCTTCAGTCATTTCTGCTGCCCCGATGGCTTTCATCAGCACGGAGATGGGGCCGGCGGGGCCGGTGATGTAGGATGCTCCTGTGTCGATGGCCACCGAGCAGCCTTCCTTGCAGAACAGGATTTCAGCCCCTACAGACACCCTGGAGTGGGAGAGGAGAGGGGTGACCCTGAGTGTCCCAGGGTGACCACAGCTCGACTCCCAGGGCCACGAGTGGCCACGGGTGAGCGTGGCACATCTCTGTCCAGGGACCACTGGCCAAGCAGAGCATGTGCTGCTCCCACGGACTCTCCAGAGGCACTGAAACCCTCCCTTCAAGCTTCCAGAATGTGAAAGCTAAGCTTCATCATGTGTGTTTTTTATTTTTTTATTTTTTTTTAAATCAAACAAAGCAGAATTGTTCCAGTGCCTTGCACTCCTTCTGCAGGACTCAAGAGGGTTAAACTCTTCCACTGCAGCTTCCAAGTGGGATCAGCCCACGGTGGTGCCACCCCCCTCTGCATTCCCCAGCCCTTGCAGAGCATCCTCAGGGCTCCTGGAGGAACCCACCCTGCTCCCCTCCACAGGGGCAAGCATCCTCCAGCACACAGAGTGAACATACACGCCTCTGTGGACCACCTCCCCAGCACCCAGCCACTTTCCCAGTACCACCCCCGTACAGCCCAGGGAGGTTTGCAGGATGAGGCCGGTGCTGTGGAGCTCCGCAGCCTCACCCCTTCATGCTGAGCAGCCAGTAGCCGCTCTTTCTGACTAGGTAGTGGAAGTCTCCGGTGTAGTAGGCTGGGTCGCTGCCTCCGAGGATTATTTCCCCCCCAGGTTTCAGAGGAGCATTCCTAGGGTGCAAAACACAGCGGAGTGATTCCCCTTCGGCTGCTGTTCCTGAAAAACCAGGGAGAAAGGGAGCAGCCCCAGCCATGAGGCTCTGCTGACCCCGTTAGCATCAGCAGAGAGCAAGTTGGAGCAGAAGAAACCCCGAGTTAGTTCAGAGGGGTGCGAGAGCCCGCAGGAGTGGGGGTGCCACACGCTGGGGTCTCGGAGCAGGTGGGTGCTGGGTCCTGCGTGGGCAGGTGTGTGGGCAGAGCCCGTGGCGGGGCTGCTGCAGCATGCGGTGCCCAGGCAGGGCTGGCAGGGGGCTGGCAGCCCAGCAGGGTCTGTGCCCGGCTGCGGGGTGCACGGGTGGCTGTTAGTGGGTGATGTCTCAGAGCGCTCGTGCTTTTCGTCTTCTTACTTCCAGGCTCTGCAAAGAGAGAGGTGCTCCATGAGCCTGGGGTCCGAGGGCAGCTGTGTCCCCAGGGTGCCAAGGGGACCCAAGGGGCACCCAGAGCAGGCTGCAGTCACAGCCAGCATCGTTAGG